ACAAATCGATTTATCAAGTTTTATCTGCTAGGGTTATGAAAGTGTTTGGCTGAGTAGATCGCATCTCAATTTGACCTTTCCAGGCTCTGAAGAAGGCGAAACCGCCGAAACGTCAGCAATTGTGTTCTAATAAATTCTATATTGACAACCTCGTGTCTGCTTATTGATGAAAAACATTGAATTATCAATTAATGCCGAGGTTAACAGAAAGTCGGTCATGGGAATGTTATTATGATTATTCATAAAGTTATTTTACATGGAGAGGATACGAAAGTAGGAACATTGCCACCATTCCACTGCCTAACGAAATTATACCGGCCTGCCACCAAGTGAAACGATCGAAGCCGAGATCTGGAAAAGTCGTTCACTTCAACTCATTTCACTACTATCGATTACCTTTGGAATCTCTTGGGTTGTTTTACTCAGAAAGAAGTGTTGTAAGAGAAAGAGAAGCAAGTATGTTGTCTACAATAATATCGGGAATTTGTCACTCACTTCAGAGCTCTCGCTGAAAGGGAAATAAAAAACCAGAAAAATAAATCTCAGTAGTAAAAGGGACCTCTGCCATCGAAAGTAAATATATTTGGGGAACAAAATTGACTCATGGAAACAATGTGAAGGGTTTGAAGAAAAAATGGGAGTTCAGTGAAGACGACTAAATGAAGTTCAACATTAGGAAGAACTTCTGTTGTGCAATAATATAAGCCAGAGAAAACGTAAAAAAGACGTTCAAAGAAAGAAAATCATCTACACTTTGAGCCCTGATAGATGGAAGCGAAGAGATTGACGGTGAGCGTAAAGCACATGAAGATCGGGCACATCACCAGTGCCCATTTGAAGGGGTCCTCCCTCAGCAAAACGGAGAACTTGATGGTCAGATAGAACGAAGATGCGAAGAAGCCGGCGATGATCGGAGAAATGAACCACGACATCACTGGAATAAGCTGATCGTGGACTACTTTGCCAGTCTAGGTATTTTTTTTTATTCTATTTGTGCCAAAAATCATAATATATATGGTTAATTCAGAACCTTATTAGAAAATCATTGTAAGCCGACGTTCATTTAACTTCGATAAAAATGATCAATGTACCTTATTTCATTGATGAATTAACACGATGCTGGTACGAAACATTTGTTCAGCTAACGTTTTGACGTCATCGTCTTCCTCAGAACGATTGTGCACATCGAGTCGGATCATCGGCTCAGAGGAAGACGAAGGTGCCGAAACGTAAGCCGAGTAAGTATTTGGTAACTCGGGTTAGCCTATCAATGAAATAAGATACATCGACAATGAATCACTTGGAGACCTATTGCTTAAATCATCAATAGTGCTATAAAGCTTAAAAAACCCCTTAAAGAGTAAAAAAATGAATTTTCGATGAAGTATTTTGTTATCACTTTCACATGATTTTCACTGAGAATACGAAAATTGTGGTTGGTGCCTTTGTCGGGTCCTTGTTCCTTATCAGCTCATTAAATAATACGATGATTAGAAATCCTAAATAATAAAACTTCATCAACACAACTATCCACTGTTCTTTCAATACTCTTTTATTGAAATTTGTTGAAAACTTATTTGGCTCATGCTGATTCGTTTGTGAGGATTTCGCTTGCCATTTTTTTTCTGATCGAGAGTGATCGCGAGTGGAAGGATTATTTTGCTTTTCACAACTCGACGTTTTTATTCAATAGAAATTTTCTGCGCAGATTGCGGTTCACTTTTTCCTATTAGAAGACAGTTTCCTTGGTAAGAACTGACAATAGGTAAAAATAAAAACCCAACAAAAATATAACAATTACAGTCATCTCAGTCAGCTAGACTAAATTTTTAGCTTCTTTCTTTTCTTGAAGAAAAGTTGTATACCAATTCCGACAATTTCGTTCCATCTGATGCCGACGTTTCCTCTCAAATAGAGCGACGATGCCAACGATGCGCCGACGATGGCATGCGTGGCCGAGACGGGAATCTTGTAAATCGACGAGACGATCATGAATGCGGCCACTCCTGCCATGGCGCCAGTCTGAAATTCCTCTTCAAATTGAGAACTTCGTAAAAATTTTCTTGCGCAAGAACTGTCGTAAATGTATAAGGTAAATAATCGTCGATTATCTGTGTCCCCATTAATCATTGCGGCTCCGTCTTGTTGGAGGTGCTGCACTGTACAAAAAATGTCATTGGTTCGATTTCACGACCCAGAAAAAACCGAGCTCACCATTCTTCCAGCGTCAAAAAATTGGTAGTGAATATACCTGGGAGAATAAAAACACTATCATAGATGAAAGCCGCAGCAAGTCATTGCATAGACCAAGTATGATTCGGTAACTTACGCAGTCATCCTCATAGGAGAATCTCATAGCGGTTAATCACAAAACACCGTGGCGCATCCACAGTGCTGATGAGGGGTTCATTGCGGACCAAAGACGACCTTTGCTTCACTGAGACGCAGGAGCATCCAGGTGATGGACTCCCTGTTTCTGCTGCTCTCATTTGGCACATACCTTCTGGGTGTAGATGACTTATTCACGCATTTCTGCGTGGGTGTACTCTTGTTTACGCCGATTGCATTTTAAAAATCAATTCGGCCAAACTACTGCAATCAAGTACCAGGGAAGTACTTGGGATATGGTTAAAAGTTATCTCCAGCAAATAGGCTAAACGTCTACTCCGCGACAGACTGGTAAGCCACCCGTGAGTATATCTAGTCCCATGTCAAGACCTCAGCAAGTTGTATTTGAGTACCAAAAGCTAAACACCGAAAAGTAAACGACCCTCATTCCTCTGACTCCGAAAGTGTCCATGATTCCTCAGCGCTGAGTGAGTAGGACGAGTAGAGTACGAGGAGGCTGCTAAAATCTCAGGGCCATTCCAGGCTGTCTAAATCCCAATGGCCTAAGGTACCTGTACCTACAATGCACGCACACTTGCATCTGAGCTCTCCATAAAAGAGTTGGTCACGTACGGAAGAAGTATAAGATACAACGTCATCGAACAGACCGCAATAAGAAGCCACCACCCAATCAACGCCGTCTGTGAAACAGGAAAAGAACTGTTCCTCGGATAATGCCACATCAAAGGGGTCACCAGCGTCGGCGTTCTCGTTAACACGAGTTTGCCCATGAACATCGATTCATCCCAATAACTAACAACCCGAATCGGATGATTGATATTAAAGAGATTTGGTTCAATAGCTGATAAACACCACCATTTACACACCGAAACCATGCTATGACGAAGACGAAGTAGAAGCGTTCTTTATGAAGTCAGAAAATTCTACAAAGACGACTATACATTTTTTAAGATCATCATTGGAAAATTTAACACTGAGATTGGATTCAGAAGAACGTCTGAAAAACGTCACACTGAGACCCACGGATTAGACTGAAACAAAGAGGATGAGCGACTGTTTGAGTTTATCATGAAGACCAAGGTCATCATGCTCACTGGCAATTCCAGAAGCTCCACTCTCAACGCTGGACGTGGGAGCCTGCTAATGTGGAATACCATAACGAAATAGCCCATCTTCACCCATCCCTTCATCCCTTCATCCTATCACCCATAGCCCATCCCACCCATCGAAATAGCCCGAAATAGCCCCCAACCCATCTTACGAATACTCAGATGTTTCTGGATCGTCTACGTACTGCGCAGCCCAACAGCGCGTGCGTGATGGAGTCCTTCGACGTTACCACCCTTTGTACAAACGTGTCGAATAACTCCGCAATGCAAGCCATATTCGAACTCCTTACACAACACGAAGGAGAAATAAACATGTATGGCTTCAAGATAGAGCACCTGATGGCACTCTTAAAGGAATGCTTGAGCTGCTCAATCTTCAGATGGCCTGGAAAGTACTACGCTCAAATAAGAGGGTTGGCAATGGGACAACGACTGGCTCCAAGCCTTGCCATTGCATTTATGTCTAAGGTGGAAGCACCGGTGACTGATCTCGGGCCGCTACTCTACTGTAGGTATGTAGACGACTGCTTTGTCCTTTGCTCAACACAAGAGGAAATGGACAAATGCTTCGAATTGTTAAACGCACAGTCAGAGTATATCAAGTTCACCCGAGAAAAGCCGAAAGAAAAATGGCTTCGTTTCTGAACGTACAAATTCACCTATCAGAAAATGGCTACATTACAAAGTGGTACCGAAAGCCAAGTAGTAAAAACATCTTGGTTCATTACTTTTCCTCTCACCCCTCTCACACGAAAAGGGCGCTTATAAGAAACATGTTTCGAACAGCAACCAACGTGTGCACGGAAAGAGAGCAGAGAGAGGAGTCCCGGAACTTGGCACGGCAAATAGCCGTTTCTAATGGCTACGAAACTGTAGCTCAGAATAGGTGTAGAGGAAATCGTAGGCCTCCAAACGTCAACTCTAGCGATAGAAGGGTCCCGTTTATCCTACCCTTCATCTCAAATGATATAAGTACAGCTATAAAACGCTGCTTAAGAAGGGCAGGCTTAGAGAATTCGGTGAGCGCAATTGAAATACCACCGAGTAATCTTAAGCGTCAGCTAGTTCGTAACCGCCTATATGGCCGTCTATGTCCAACTCAAAATTGCATAATTTGCCCCAGTGGTAGAGACGGTGATTGCATGAGCTCGGGTATAGTTTATCTGATCTCCTGTAAGACGTGCGGTGACGAATACATTGGCGAAACGGGTAGACCTCTCTGTGTCCGCATGAAAGAACACCTAGCCGGCAAAAATAGACCAAATACCCCGCTAGGCACGCATAGGACGCAGAGACATAACGGGGACGACTTCGAAGTATGTGTCACAATCCTCGCACGCGAATCAAGANTTGAAATACCACCGAGTAATCTTAAGCGCCAGCTAGTTCGTAACCGCCTATATGACCGTCTATGTGCAACTCAAAATTGCATAATTTGCCCCAGTGGTAGAGACGGTGATTGCATGAGCTCGGGTATAGTTTATCTGGTCTCCTGTAAGACGTGTGGTGACGAATACATTGGCGAAACGGGTAGACCTCTCTGTGTCCGCATGAAAGAACACCTAGCCGGCAAAAATAGACCAAATACCCCGCTAGGCACGCATAGGACGCAGAGACATAACGGGGACGACTTCGAAGTATGTGTCACAATCCTCGCACGCGAATCAAGAACACGGGCGCGAAAGACTCTCGAGGCACTCTGGATTAATTCCAGAAATCCGAAAATGAACCGCAGGGAAGAATGCCTCATTATCACGCGTGATATAGGGCAGTATATAAAACTGCTTTTCTGATGTGAGGGGCACATTATACTTCCACGTGATTTCTGTGCGGTTGGTCTCTACGTGACATACTTAGTGGAAACCTCATTGAAAGCGGTGAGTGTGCAAAGCTGTGTTCAAAGTGATTGAAATCTTGGTTTGGAGTTTCTTTGTTTGGTTATGGAGGCGTCTGGCCAAGTGAGTTGCTATCAACTTGACCTTTCCAGGCTCTGAAGAAGGCGAAATCCGCCGAAACGTCAGCTTAATCGTGAACAAAGAATAGTAACACCTCGCGTTTGCTCAACAAAAATACGAAGGAAATAGATCACGTTATAGTAAACCGAAGGTTTTGCCCAGTCAATGCTGCTGTTGCTCCAGAATCTTAGATAAACTCAGAGCATCGCCTCCTTCGTGCAATAATTCATTTTTCGCGAAAAATAGGAAAAACGGTTAAATTCAGAAAAACGAAGCGTCAAACCACCATGAAGTGGGATTTACTAAGTGGGCTGTTGGAAAGATATCCTTCTTGATAACATCAAACATTAGCGCTATAAAATCTGAGCTCGAAAGTCACCGTGAGACATCAGCCTTCGCCTTCCTCGAAGAAAATGGTTTAATTACTTAAGTTTAAAAAGAGCTCGTTATGGTTTTCGCTAATCTCTGGTTCTCACATCCACGCAGGTTCGGTCCAGGATCTTGTTCCTGTCGTGTATGCTCCAATCATCATGGACTTATTTGCAAGTACGGTCTTGATATGTGCCACAGATGTTTCCTGGAATACGCCAAGGTTAAGGCAAGACCTCAATGAGTAAAGAGCAGCACTTATGGTCGAAGCTGTAGGGCTGGAAAAACCATTTGCAAAGCCCATAAAAACATCACCATTTACAAAACCAAGGAGATTGCATTCCGATACGCAGATGGAACAGTTACAGCGTCCACAAATATAGCGGAGAAAATCATCCACCATTGTTACCTGGATGTCTTTAGTAGTCACGTTCTCTTGCCTTCATATGAAATAAACGAGGAAGAAAATATTGTCTCGTAGGTGGCTCTTCCGAAATCTTACATTCTACTTCGTCTACGAAGAATCAACCAACCGTTGGGACAGAGCAAGCTTTTTATTCGAGTCATCCTAAACATGACTGACGGAAGACAGGACAAAGGAGAACCATCTAAGAAACTAGGATCTTAAAAGGATTCAACACGATGGGCAACATCCGCATGATAAGTAGATTCATCGCTAGAGTACAAAATACGCTTTGGCTCACTTCCACGTATTTAAGGAAAGCTGTTGGCTCAGTTAAGATATAAGCCGTCACTGGAAGCCCTAGAAATCCAGGGCGTCCCTAGTCAATAAACAAAGATTCTTCGTGAGCTACATTAAGATTTTACAGCCAAAATATCGCTATTCTATAACGGCATTAACATCGAAAGAGGAGTAAAGCGAGGCAATACTATCTCGTTAAAACCGTTCACCGTCACCCTGGAGAACATCACGCGTATATTGAAATCGAACAATACTTGCTTACTTACTTGGATGGCCCGTCCTCACTGGTTTTTGGAATTTTGCTGGTTTAGCCATTGTCGTTCGTTTCCTGGAGTGCCGAGGTTAGCCCAGCCAAAGTCTTGCCCAGGTCTTCACCGTCACAGGCAGTCGTGGCGTTTGTGTATCAGAGGATGATTTACCAACATGCGATTAGTTTGATATCAAGACGGTGGTGGATCCTAGTTCACTCTAAGCCGCTTAGCTGGGATTCCTGATAGAAACACCGGCCTTCATCTCAGCTTGAGAAAC